ATACTGAAGTAACACATTGTGAAATTATTCACTATAGCTGTACTAATTGCATTCCCATGCTGTGGGGTATCACAGTATGGGAATGTAGTCCCGTAAATTGGGCCCTATGATTTAAAAAGTACATTAAGGTAGTTGAATGCATCCAGAGGAGTGCACCAAAGCTGGGGAAGGGGCTGGCAGGCATGGCCTCTGAGGCTGAGGACACAGGGTTTGTCTAGTTTGGAGAGAAGGAGGCTGAGGGGCGACCTCCCTGCTCCCTACAGCTTCCTGAGGAGGGGACGTGGGGAGGGAGGGGCTGAGCTCTTCTCCCTGGGACCCAGGGCCAGGTCACTGGGAATGGCTCAAAGCTGCATCCCTCAGGGGAGGCTCAGACTGGACACGAGGAAGCATTTCTTTACCAAGAGGGTGATCAGACCCTGGAAGAGGCTTCCTGGAGAGATGGTCGATGCCTCAAGCCTGTCAGTGTTGGAGAGACATTTGGACAATGCCCTTATTAACATGCTTTAGCTTTTGGTCAGCCCTGAAGTGGTCAGGCAGATGACCTCGATCATTGTTGTAGGTCCCTTCCAACTCAACTCTTCAATTTGATTTGATTTGACTCTTCTTCCTCCCTCCTCCTTTCCCTACCAGCACATGCTGAGGAAATCTCTGATGTCGTTTCTCCCCAGCCCTGCACTAGCAGAAGGGACTGAATGGGTAACCATGTCCCAGCCTAGGCACCGGCGCTGTCACTTTGTGGGAAGGAGCCATGTGCCTTCTGATGGGAGTGAGCGCTGTGGATCGTCTCAAGATCATTTGAGCACCTGAAGAAATTTGCAAAAAGCATGTTGGAACTGCAGTTTTTGAAAGTCCTCTACGTTCATCCAGTTTAGCTGGATTTCCACAGGATGGAAAAAAATCTCTGACTCTAGTGAGGCTCAAAGATGAAACCCTCAGTCTGAAGCCAGAAGAGCTCTGGAACTAAATGGATGCAACCTTTTTTGATGTAAGCAATACCTGCTCATTTCCCTGCGGATTTGTTTTTTATTGTACTCATTTTTGGAAATGCTTGTTTCCCATGGAAAACCATGCTATAACAGAAGACCCAGAGAACAACAGTACTCTGTCAGAGCGAAGGTCCATCTGGCCCAATACTCAGTCTCCAAAGTGGACACCCACCAATGTCGATGGCTGGGACCGGCCTCCCCTGGGACCCCCAGGCCCCCCCCGCTGCCGAGGGCCCAGGGGACGCGGGGTCTCAGCTCAGCCCGGGGCCTTCGGTCCCTGCCTGGGCGATGGGGTAGGTGTGTGCCCGTCCCTGCCCCTGTCCCCTGGGTGGGCCTGGGACCTGCCCTGCAGAGACCTGCTCGCCGGAGGGACCCCTCGGGCCCAGGGCAGAGCTGGGCACGCAGAACTCTAGGCACAGCATCGCATTACCGTTCCCTTCCATTCCATTCCATTCCATTCCATTCCATTCCATTCCATGCGCTCACCATGAGTCAAATAATGAGACTGTTATTTGCCTGGGATGCCAGGGGTTTCTCAGCTCCAAAACCGCTTTCATGGACACAAATCAGAAAGCTTACAAGTAGAAACACAGTTTTATGGCTAGATTTCATTTTATCTAATTTTATGTGATTTTATGTTATTTTGTGTCATTGAATGTTATTTTTCTAAATCTTTTTGAGAGATGATGCTCACAAGCCGTAACACAACACACATCTGTATCCAGCAACAGGCTGATGATGCAGTCTTCAGTTTAGCTTGAAAAAAACATCCCTCGTGGTCTGGCAAAGGCAGGTCATGGACCTGCAGGGAGGAGAGGCAGGAATACAGGCCAAGCAGCTCCTGTTTCCTGAAGAGTGACAACTTGAAGAACGAGGATCAGGACCAACCACACAAAGAAGAAGAAGAAGAAGGAGAAGAGGAAGAGAAAGAAGCAGGAGAAGCAGCAGGAGAAGCAGCAGGAGAGGCAGCAGCAGCAGCAGCAGCAGCAGCAGCAGCAGCAGGCGGAGGAGGAGGAGAAGGAGGAGGAGGAGGAGGAGGAGGAGGAGGAGGAGGAGGAGGAGGCGGAGGAGGAGGAGGTGTGGTACCGTGGAGTATCTTCCAGAAGCAGGACACATGCCGATGACAAGCATCCTTGCTGCCTTCCAAACCTTGCCCCGCTGTGCCCGGCCAGTGATGTGTGAGCAGCTCGGAGAGCTGGGAAGTGGCAGCTCCGGGTGGTGCCGCGAGCCTGGAGCCCTCCCGAGCACAGGCTGCTGTGCACAGGCCAGAGCCCCGGGGAAATGCAGCCAAGGGCAGAGCTGAGCTTGCTGCCGCTGCAGACTTGCGATGAGAAAGAGCGGCCCTGGAGAGGGCCGGTGCTCAAGTAGCGCCTTGGAGGTGGCAAGAGCCGCAGGCAAGAACCTCACCAAAATGGCCCAGAGGCCCTGGCATGGGGCTGTGCTCAGTGCTGCAGAGGAAAGCAGAAAACCCCTGGGACACTTGGCAACATCTCTGCATCCCATTTATTTGGGCTGCTGCCCCTGGCTCCGCAGGGGATGAGGACGGCGAGCTCTGCAGTGCTCCTCAAGAAGGCATTCTCTTGCTCTGGCCACTGCTCTCCAGCTGTAAAAAGCCTGATACCTCGGGCATCTCCAGATGTTGGTGGTTCTTCTCCTCTCCAGCAGCCTCCCCCTGCCTCTGGTCTTCCTCCCTCAGCCCCCGCCAAGTAATTCCACCGGCCCCTCAAGGACTTTCTCTCGGATGTGTTCAGGATGTCCCCAGGCCAGCTCTGGCAGCAGGACATGGAGGATGCTCCCTTTTATCCTGCCCCAGGGCACCGTGACGTGGGAGTGACAGGACAGGGCTCCTCATGCACAGCCCCCTTCGGAGGAAGGGCTGTGGGGTGCTGGCCCCGAGGCCGTCCCTGTGCCCAGGGGCTGTCCCTGTGCCCAGGGGCTGTCCCTGCCCTTGCTGGCCGTGCCCCGGGCACAGCTGCTGGGCGTCCCTGGGAAGTAATCTGGACATCCAGGCTCGGTAAAGAAGGGCATTTATACTATAGACATTCATTTGGTTGTGGGGATGCCAAAGGTGAAAGAAAGGGCTTTGGTTCCCTCTGCATGAACTCTGTGGAGATGTGGAGAGCATGCAGGATTTCCTCACCACTCCTTACCAAGGCACCAAGGGACATTTGCTACTACCCTGCTTATGGTGAGGTCATCCTAGTGGAAATAAGTCCCAAATTGTTTTGTGTTCTTGACCATCTTCCTCCTTGCACTTCAGTAGCTCTTCTCCTCCTCCTTTGGCTTTCATCCTTGATATCTCTCTTGAAAGAGGTGGCAGCCCTCTCAGCCTTTGTTTTGCTCCTACTAGTCGTCATCTTCTGTCAACTCTTTGCTGCCGCTCATGTATATTCCCATGGAAATACACTTTCCCAGTTGTTCAATAATGCAAAAAATCCCACAACTCACAGAAATTAAGCAATGTCAGCTAGCTACTTAGCAAGCCTGTCACTTTTCTTCTGGCCTAAGCGTTGCTTGAGATCAACCACTGTTCCAATTCGAGGAAGAGTTTTGAACCAGTTATTTTCTTCCTGTTTGAATCCCTGCCTATTTTCCTCTGAGACTGTTGTAACATAGAATTAATTCACAATTGCAAAACGAGCCAGATTCTTGGTCCCAGATGTGATTTTCTTGGCAATGGAAACAGACTTTGGGGGAAAGGTAGTAAGCTCCAGTAGAAAATAACCACTAACTCTCACTAACACATAGTACTTATTATGTCAAAAGATCCAATAGTTACCATTCTGGTTCCTTATTAATGTACACAGCTGTTAACACCTGGACACTGTGGTTGCTTTTTTCCTTAAAACACTACAAACGTTCCTCCAGATTTAACCACTGAGGCTGCATTAAATTAGCAGTGTCATTTCCTACACACTGTTTCAACTTCTCTGCCCTTCTATCAAGTATATAAAAAAAAAAAAAAAGTGGAAGATCACACTTTGGATGAGGAAGACATGCAAAAAAAGATTAAAATTTCACATCCAAAGCACACAGCAGCAACAGATGACTTCCCCATCCCCCACAGCACATGAAGGAAAATCCATTGTATTTCATTCTTTGAATCTTACATTTCTTAGGCTCCTTGAAAAGTTCACCCTAGATTTTATTTTCAGAATAAACAGAATCCATTTAGACGTGTCATTTGTTTAAAGACCACAATACACATCTAGTGGTATGATGTCATCAAGGTGAAGGTTTCTTCTCCATCTAGTACCTAGGCCAATCTGTTTTATATTGGACTAAGCTGGTTGATATCCCTCAGATAACCTGTTGATCAGGTGAGCAGTTTCAAATAAGCAAGAACTGGTCAAGAATTTGCACCAAATACGGCAATTAGATTGAACTGAACATGTTTTTGAAAAAGTAAAAATTTTTGCTATGTGGTTTCCAAACTGGAGTTTTGCAACCTGCTTTGAAGCGTGTTGAAGTGTAAAGTACAATGAGAATTAAAATGAAACTCTGTGCAGAAAATAAAATAATTTGGTTTTGGCCACACAAAATGCTTAACCAAACAACCTTTTGGATTAAATGAATGCGCCCTTTTTTTAACTTCACCACTAGTTTTGGTGGATCAAAACATCTTAATGCAGAAAATAATAGTTAAGCTGAAAACTAAACGAAAATCCATAGCACGTATGTCATTCTTTTTTTTACAAAGAGCAATTTTTTGCTAGCATCTAGAGAATGAAAAAGTATCTTTAGAAAAACAGAGGAAACACCTTAGAAAATTCTAACATTACGGTAATGCACAAACAAGCTGGTGCCTTCAACCCCTGTGAAAGGATGTGAGAACAAACCAGTACAGATACAAGTGTTCTTTACCTATATATATACAAACAATTCTAGTAAGAGGGGCACTTCTAATTTGATTCAAGCCTAGAAAAGCTTCTCATACACAGAGACCCAAGTCTCAAATACTGGACCAGAATCTTAAAGGAGAAAATCTAACTAGCAGAGATATGAAACACCAAGACTCGGCCATCCAACCTGTATTTTATTTGTGTGCATAAGGTATGGAAAAATGAAGAGTCCCTTGTAACAGATATTGCTCACTTGTAACAGAAGAGCATTCAGCTGAAAGGCATTTTGTGAAATGACAGGAAAGAAAGGTTTACAACACAAACATACAAGTTCTTTTATTTTGAGCATATGATCTTTATTTAAACTGTTACATAGGAATAGTTTTATAGACTAAAATTTCTGAGTAGAATTTTTCCTCTTTCCTCCTATGCCTGTTCCAAGATTTTATGTTCATACTTTAGTTCCCACATGCTTCATGGGATGAATAATTATTTATATACAAAATTATACTCTGAAAGACACCTAAATCAACATGACACCTTGATATTTATTTGTAGGATATCACCTGCACAGAGTGAAGTGAAAGTGGGGAGTACACAGTGAACACAAATCATCAAGAATAATAATTATAAAAGAGGAAAAATAAAGTCTGGCATATGAAAGTCTGTTCATTACTCCTTAGTATATTTATAATCAACAATTTTCCCCTCATATTTTCCAGCTCTGTAAAATAAGACCTGCATATCTTCCCAGAGTTTGTTTGTAAGCCATACAATTACAAGTAGCCATGCTTAAGAGCATTTTATAAACTATTTTATAATGTGGCATGTTAATTTCCCCATGGGGATAGTCACTGGACACATAAATTGTTCCTTTGCCAGGACAATACTTCCAGTTCTTGATAATGATGTTTTTGACTAGCTTCTAGGAAAAGCTGCCACTTGGTTACATCCGTGTTCAGTTCCTTTGCCAGTGACCTTCTATCCAAGTCACAGGGTTCACAGATGAAAACCCCAAGTGTCCTGCACAAAAACTCAAGCGATATCATCTCCCCTGCAGTCGGTGTTACACCATGTGTACATACACTTACATACAGTTTTGCAAAACTCAGTTTACCAATCAGCTTTACCCACAATAAAGTAACTTTAACCCTTTTGGCATCCATTTGCCTGCAGACTCTCCTGCTTCTGCCTGTGAATTCCGTGATGATGAGACCCAGAGGAAGCAGAGAGCTTTGCACCAGCAACACCGATGGCCAAGACCAGCAGCAGTGACTTTCGGTAGCAACAGCAGGCAGCGCTTTGTACACAGCAGCATTGTCTCTGCCTCGGTATCTCACAGGTTCCACTTCAGCAGATCTGAAATCTTTACGGCAATTTTCTCTCTTCCTCTTTCTTTCTTTCTTAGTGTTTTTGGAAGAAGGAAATGCAGGAAAAGAAAGCCCAGAGGAACAGCTTATACCAGGATATCGCTTCTCTTGCTGCACCAGACTACCAGCGTTATCATGGCACACGTCAACGTGACTGGGATCAAGATCAGAGTTATGAGAATTTCATCTGGTGGATCTTCCCAGTGAACCTTTTCTGAAGTACAGTTTGAAAAGAACTGTTTATGAATTCCAGCAATAAAGCCCTCTGCGAGGGGGTTTGGCCAAAAGCAACTCGCATTGTTGGCTTCCCGTTCGGTGCACTGGGTGAAGTTGTCATAATACCTAGGAGAAGAAATGAAGTTTAAATAGAACACATATGCATACTGCACTTAGAGAAAGCTACATAGGGTGCCATATAGAATCTATAAAAGTGGGTCTATCATGTAGATACTCTGCTGAAGGGCCTTTAACAGAAGCTGTGGGTACCAAATACTACACAGTGAGCCAGAATGAGAACTGGCTCACATGTACTCATACAACAGAGATTTCATGTGAAATCCTGAGATCCCGGATAGACAGTGGTCAAAACTCTGCTTTTTGTGTGCTGTCCCTACAGCCAGGATCTCCTAATGTCACTTGAATAGAATTAGAAGAAACTCCTCACTAGAAACAGCCGCAATGTTTTCAGAAAAACATACACACAAATGTGCCAAAACCAGGACACCTTGAGCAAAATATGGGTAATTCATGCATCCTCTGTCATTGGACATGATGCTGTGGCAAAAATGATGACGTGATGCTGGGACTGAGCCACAATATGCATTACTGTGTAACAATTTCAGTTCTGCTGTACCCTTAGGCAGTAAGAAGATAATAGGAAAATAAACACACAGAAAACTAGCTTTTGACAACCTTTAACTTCCTCCCAACTCCATCAAATGGCCAGTAGGAAAAAAAATAATAAAAATTCCTAATTACACAAGTTCTCAATGCTCATGAAAGATTGGGAACCCCTTGTAAAGCCTAACGATTTCAACACAGCATGTGCTGAAATCTACCTGTCCAGGGATAACTTAGGAGAATTGGCTATCCTTCACAAAAAAAAAAAAAAAAAAAAAAAAAGGAAACAATAAGCCTAAACGAGTAATAGGATGGGTTTTGTGGTGTGATCATAAGCCAAAGAAATTCAGGAAGTGAATGGAGTATAGGGGAGGAGACTGGAAACTGGGAAGACAAAGGGTGTCTGGTCAGTATATGAATAGGGTAAGAAATAAGGAAGATGAATTATTGTCTGCTGCATTTTAAAATATTTCTTTCAGTCCTGCATGACCCAAGAAACTTACTTCAAAGGGAAATTAAAAATAGAAAGGAGAGAGCAAGAAACCACATGACACCTCAAGGGATAGCATGCTGCACTATTTGAAGGCCCCACGCTCCCTTTCAGTATGTATAAATACACAAACTCCTGATAAGTGACTCGTTCTGACACTGAGTACCACTGGGCACTAACGCTGACTCAATCCTTTGCTGTGAAGTAGCAGAGGAGAGATATTCAGTGTTTGGGTCAAGGCTGAAGTCCACTGTCTACTGCCTGCCTGTCAGGGGAGATGTCTGCCTGCCCATGCTCTGAGCACACAGGCTGAGAACACAGAGCATCTACATTCTCAGGGATGCGCTCGCAGAAGAAGAAAAAGCCTCGCAGAAAGGTTCTTCTGCAACCTCCTCATAGTTCTCATTCTCAGGGCGTTTGAGCTGCTGCTCCTTTAGTCATAAGCAAATACACTGGATGACCCGAGAAGCCCATACGCAGACGCTCTGGCATGCAGATATGCACAATGTATGTATATTTTAAGCAAAGCAACTAGAAAGGAAGCTTTTATGACAAAGTCAGCAGCTGCAGGGAAACAGCAGGAAATAAGCTAAAAATAAAATACAAATATTAGCTGTTTGTTATTTTAATAGTCATTCTTCCCTGTGACCCGGTAGCATCCATTCTTTATGACCTTGGACTAAATTAGAAGCTGAAGATGTCTAGCTGAATATGGGAGAGACAGTCCCAGAGGACCTGAAGAATAATACATCTGAAGGCACGCCTGCAAGGTTCGGCAGACTGCAACGCGGAGGCGGCGGAGCCCGCATCCCGCTGCTCGCACAGCCACCAGGCAGGGCTTCGGCGAGCACCGGGCCCCGCTCCGGTGAGCAAACGTGCCCCACCAGCGCCTGCCACGGCTCCCCCGCTGCCACCCCCACCTCCCTTTGCCCATCTGTTCATGCAGAGTAACAAAACGAACCAAGAAATCCCGGTGACCTGAGCAGACTTCACAGAAAAGTAGCCTAAACTGAAAGATTTAATGATATAAAACCTTTATTTTTCCTTCCCTCCCCTCCCCCGGGTGTAAAATCCTACAGAACGTTCACTGGTCTTCCTAGAATTCTGTAGGTCTTTTTTTTTATAAATGTCTGACGGGCTAAACAAAACCATATCCCACTGACTTTGCATTTCAATTATAACATAGCTAGAAAACCCTGGTCAAACATTACCAAAAGGCCAGATAAAAATAATTAGGGAGTTACATTGTATTTGAAAGACTGAATGCCTAAAAGCCAAAACAGAATAAAAATGTTATCTTAACAGTTTAAATTCCTCACAAATTTCCCTTAATACCCTCTCCCCGCCGCCCCCTCACCCCCCAAAAAAAAGCTACTTGCAGTATAACTGTTTTTTCACACAATTGTAAGAATGTAGATAAGGAAATATCTCAACTATTTGAGAATTACATGTCTGCCAGTAAAGCTCAATTCACTTAAATATTTATGTAATTTAGAGTTTATGCACTGCAACAAAAAGTTTAAAAAAAAAGAAAAAATTCCTCTGCATGGTACTGTGTGACAGCTGCCTCAGAAGGGAGCAACTGAATCCTCGTTACTATGGCATGGGCATTTTGAATTTAATCAATTGGTTTGCAAGTTGTTGGGCTTTTTTAAGAGGGAGGCAGGGTTTCATAGATATTTAATTCCAATTCAGTTCTCCTGTGCTTAATTCTCTTATGCCTTATGTAATTCTCTTTATTCAAATGGTAAAAGCTAGAGTAGGAAACCTTTCCATTCTGTACAATAAAATGACTAACACAAAGATGCCCTGGCCTCTGACTGGAAGTACTTCAACACAAATGCATAAAAATTACACACTTTGTGAAAGGAAAGAATGAGAAATTACATTTTCTACTTATTCCCAGAACAAGTAATTGGAGAGCAGTACAGTAGCATAAGGTCCTTCACCTCTCAGATTATAAGGAGGTGTGAGAAGATGATTATTCTCTGTGCTGAGTCGCATTTTCATCTCTTTCAAGCTAGCTGCAAGTACCTAGTTAGTTAACACTTAGAAAAGGTATATTCACTGGGAGCCAGGTTACACGCTTTCTGTTCAGTGGGCTGAAAAAGTAATTTATCTGCGAGTTTCTACTGAAAAACAAAAACTAAGCATAGTCCAAGCACCAAAACTCATGTAAAGATATGCTTTCCCCTGATATGCTCAGGAGAATAATTAGAAGTTTTACTGAGGAATGAAGTACTTGGTCATACTGCATATTATTGAAAACACTTACTTTCAGAGAACATGAAAAGTACTTAATTCCTCTTTGGAGCAATCTCTGAGCTGTAACACATTTGTCATGAAAGACAACTTTCACTAATGTCAAACAATACTTCATTTCCAGAGCACAAACACTTTTTCTCCTGTACTTAAACAGATAATAACAATTGTGTGGTTACTTTTTGTAAAAAACTGTGCAACATTTTATTTTTTGAGTTATTTTACCCAGGAGAAACCGGATTTGTTTCCATTTACCTATAAAAAAGAACATGGACAATAGGCATTTATTATCAGGAATGCTAGCACAGACATTTGCCTTAACAGGACAGCATTTCATGGAGTGCCCACTCAAGTTATTCAACTAGACATTTGGCTGCATTACATCTCACCTGTCTCAGGGTACCCAGCTGCCTACCACTAAGGGCACTGCTCTGAGCGGGGGCTTGAATCTCATCCATAGTTTCCCACATCCCCAGGGAGGAATATGGTAAATTCTTGCTCTTTCTTCCTCAACATCCCTAAACAGAAAAACTGCAGAGATGATTGGTTTACAAACACACAAAAAAAATACAACTCCCTCCTCCCAATTTTCACGAGACCAACAAAACAAATAGATCGTTTCATTAGGAGTTTCAACAACTGAGCCCTTTCCAAAGAAAACTTGTTCTTTCAAAAAATGGCAAACGATTCTCAAAAAGCAGAGTACCATGTATCATGTTACTGAAGACAAACTTTTGAAGGCGTTCATAGGCTGCAGCCAGCAGACCCACCAGCAGTTCCAGTAAGAGAATTTTGCCACCTCCCCAGCACTCATGAACAGACCACCCCAGAGACACTCTGCACACATGCAGCCAGGGATTTTTTTTTGCCATTGCCTAATGAGATGAGCCAGGAATTAAAAAAATGAACCGATCAATGCACTTTCACTATCCCATTTTACATAAATCAGCTTCATGGTTAGTGATGTAATTATGGAAGGGGTACAGCAGGGTACATACATTATAAGTTAATTTTTGTTTTGAGTCCACTAAAGTACTCAGAAAATATGGTGAAAATTCTCTCTAGCATAAATGAGTTTTGATGTAGATCAGGTAATAGATACTCCAGGGACACTCACTCCTTCTGCTACTCCACAATCCCAGGCAGGAATCTAGAGGCACTGTTCCAAGATACTACAAGTTATGGGGTGTATTTTTATAAAGATGTTTTAAAAGTCTCTTATTTTTCCCCCCCCCCAGACAGTTCAACCATGAAATTGCTTTATACATATTAAATCAGAGTTCAAAGTGAATAATCATCCATGTGATTTTGACCCAGTCTGGAATAAAATATGTTGACATAATAATAATTATAAATATCATATGATGAGAAAGACCATTCTTACAGCATTTCCATATGAAGAAGAGGCAGGAAGTACCAAACAACCTCACCAAAAAAAAAAACCCACAATTTTTGTGGGATAAGCCGCCAGATTTTATAGAATTTAATGGTGTAACGGCCTGGATGAACTTCAAATAAGGATCCAAACCTTAAGATTATTATCTCCTGACATTTCACCAGCATGTTAGAAGAAAAACCTTAGTTTTATAATCAGCTATGAGTATACAAACACGGTGGAGTATTTCTGAGGTTTTTTGATTCAACATCTCTGCAAACAGATTTGTGGCTGTATCTCACCACTCCTTTAATCACGTGTCTTCTGCCAAGAGGAGTATTCTCACAGACAGACTCCTACCTCCCTAATCAGATC